TTTGTTTTGTTTTTTGTTTTGTTTTTTTTTTTCACACTACTAATATTAGCTTTAATTTTTGTATACGCACGAAATGCATTCGAAAACTGTTTTTACATGTTTTTTTGTATGTTTTTGCTTTTGCTTTTGCCACGATATGAATAATTTGAGATAATTTTTATATGGATATTATATTTGATATTGTGATGTTCTCCTTTCTCACTCTCTCTTCGCTCTCCTTCACTTGCTGCTGCTCCTACCGATCCTACAGCTACGCACCGCACACACACATGCACAAATGTACAGTTCGACGTTGCGCAACTTTGGCACAAAACTGTTTCCTAGTATTCACTCGCGAAATGTTTAATGTTTTTCCTTTCTCCTTGCCTTGCTTTGTCGCTGGCTTTCCTTTACTTTCCTTTCCTTTTTCAACTCCCAAAGTTTTTTGCATTCATTCAAGACTTTTTTTCAGAACATTTTCTTGACCGCGTTGTTTCGTTTTTTTTTCAACAAATAATTCAAAAGACTAAGACGAAAATTCAAACCCTAACACAAAGTTTCAATTTGATTAACGACAAAATTGTGCTGCCGCTGCTGCTTTTCAATGGATTTCCGTTTAGCTTTTTGTGGCTGTTGTTGTTGTTGTTGTTGTTTTGTTGTTGTTTTAAAGACACAAAAGAAATTTAACAAATTTTGGCTATTTCCTTTTTTTATTTTTGTATTCCTTTTTTTTGGGCTTTTGTTTTTGAATTTCAGTTTTCACTTCTGCTGTTTTGCTGTTTTGCTGTTTTGCTGTTGCTTTTCTGTTTTCTGTTGCTGTTTCGTTGCTATATTTTTGCTTTGCTATTTTCTATTTTCCTGTTTAACGATTATCGCTTTTCTGGGCTGCGGTTTTTGGTGTTTTTGGTGGTTGTGTGGGGGAGGGGCTCTGCTTGGAGGCTGCTGGCTGTGGGGCGGGGGGCTATTTCTTTTGATTTTGTTCTGTTGCTATTTCTATTTCAGTGTGTGTTTTGTTGCTGCTTCTTCGTTTTGGTTTACTGTTACTATTTCCGTTTTGCTATCTGCTTTGTGGTCTGGTTTATTGGCTGTTTCCTTTTGTTGCTTCTGTTAGTTTTTATCCTTCGTTCCTCTTTTTTTTTTATTGGCGGTTTCTCGTATTATGGTTACAGTTTTCTCTTTTATTATTACTTTATCTACGCTATTATTTGTTTATTATTTTGTTTGTTGTTGTAGTTGCTTGTTTGTTGTAGTTGTAGTTGTAGTTGCTGTTGTTGTTGTTGTTGTAGTTGTTGTTGCTGTGTTTGCTGTAGTAGTTGTTGTTGTTGTTGTTGTTGTATTCCAAATTTTGTTGTGAATTTTGTTTGTTAAATTTTGAGAAACTAACTGAAAATCACTTTTTGTTTTTCCATACAACTGAAGATTTAACTTTAATTTGTTGTACTATTTCCTCTTGATGTTGTTGTTGTTGTTGTTGTTGTTGTTGTTGCTGTTCCTTCTTCCTCTTCTCCTTCTTTTTGTCGTAGAATTGATTGATGGAAATTATATACAAATTATAACATTTATTAAGTGATAAGAACGCTTCAAATAATAATTTTAAATCATTGCACATAAGTTGTTATCGTTATTATTATTTTTATTATTATTATTTCATTTGTATTATGTTGACGGGATCTTCTTTCGCCTTCGTTTGTCGTATTATATCGTTGGTATTATAGTTATTATTATTATTATTATTCAATTAAATAAAACAATATTTCAATAAGTATCAACAACGTTTTAACGTAATCTTTAAAAATGTTCCAAACAGTCAAAAAGCACCTAAAATCGTGGAAGAAACAAAGCAAATCATTTTATCATTATTAGCATGTGGCAGGGGGCAAGGTCGTCTGTGGGCAGCTTCTGGTAGACACTTTTTATGCATCTTTAAGGATGCGATTATCCTTGCGCCACCAAAAGCTACCCACATGTCAGAACTGGGCTAATAGCCAAGTTAATTATAGGGTACGGGGTGGGAGTTCAGCGTGTTTCCCGGTGCTCGGTTCTGGGTGCTCGATTCTGGTTTTACGCCTCAACGTGTTATCTGACTTCCTGTTGCCAAAATAAGTTCAACACATGGCGAACACACACACACACACACAGATACTGCAGACAAACAACCGCAGACAGCACCCACTCCCCATAGACACCCCCCTTTGTGCTCTTCTATTCCTAACATCAGACAAGCGTGCTTTGGGCATAGAGGCACGCATATTGTCTAAACAGCAGCGAAAGCCCCCCACCCCACCAAAAGAGAGCGCAAAGAGCGCCATGGAAAGAGAGAGAGAGAGCAGGACAATGGACACTGGATGGGGGATGGTGGATGGGGGAGAGCACAACTAAGCGAACAACAAAATTTTCAAGTTCAAAACGCCGCCAGATGATAAAACGAGGCTTCCGATAGCCATCACTTGGGGTGGGTCAGTGGGGTGTGGGGGGTGTGGCGCAACAAAAAGCAAAAACCAAACATACACAACGTGTGAAGGGAAAGACCAGAGCACAAACAAACCCCCAGCGATACGATCTAAATGCAGAAAACAACGAAAAAAGCTGCGGCGGCAACGAAATAAAAGTTAACCGACGGCGACTGCATTTAGAGTGGGGGAAACTGCCGGGTGTAGATCCACGGATGGCGATATAGAGCCCCACACACAGGCACAGCTAGACAGATCTTCGTACACAGGCAGCCCACATGGGGCACAATGGCAACAGACGGACAGGCTGACAGACAGTAACAGACACAGAAAGAGGCACAATTCAGCCGGCACAAAAGCACAAAAAAGTTCCGAATAGTTGAGCAAAAATTGTTGAACCGCATCGGGGAGAGTCAATAGATTAGTGCTCGTAGACCCCATTGTAACCCCCGCTCTGCGGGCAATGTTAACGGGGTTTATGGCGCTGTACACATGTGGGGGAGTTCAAGCCATAAAGCTGTGGGTCCTGCACTTCCTGAATGTTCTATTCACTCGGGTTACAGTCAGTCAGCAAATGGCTGCCATAATGTTCACATTAAACGATCGTTGATCCGTTGACATGGGAGGGGCTTCGCTTACGACTCCAAGCTAATCTGCACATCTGTTTCGCATGCAAAATACCCTTTAAAATCCACCAAAGCACAAGGCCATTTGGGACACAGCACACACACACACACACACACACATTAAACAGATTTTTCAGCATAATGCTGAAATTTATTTGGGCATCTCACAGACACAATTACAACTGCAGATACATTTGCACATAGACACACGCTCCAGTCTCGAGAGACAAAGTTAAGCGAAACGAATCGTAATAAAACACACTCTGGGATCGAAAATTAACGAGAATATCGTGACGCAGATGTAGGAAGTATCGGAATCTGTTGGCAAAGATGAAGACGCAGAACGAGAACCAGAAAAACACCGGGGGAACACAGAAATGTCTTTAGAGCGCGCTAAAAAATTCTCAGATGGCGCACAAAAATGTTGCGGGAACCCCGGTCAGAGCCAGGAGCCAGCGAGCCAGCGAGCTCCACGAAACGCACCGAAAACGGCCAAAAAGATGAATATGTGCAAAAATCTTTTGCATACGCTCAAGAACCCCCATGGAAGGCGGCAGCGCGCTCGCAGTCGCAGTCGCAGTCGCTGTCGCTGCCGACTTGGGCAGCGGAGAATGGAGCGGCACTCTTCTCTGGGAGAGAACAGAAAAGAAATTGAAAAAAGTCGTCGTCGTCGTCGTCGTTGTTGTTGGACATTGTGATGAATGGGTAGGCGGGTGGCGGGCGGAGGGAGGATGTATGTGTGCATAAAGCTTTTACGGACGCTCGCGCTCAGACAACAAAAACGAAGCGAAAATGAAACGAAGCGAGCACAAAAAGGCGACGACTACGAATACGCTCCCTCCCCCAATCCACAAATGCAGCCAGCTCCAACACAAGCACATCGAGAGAGTGACAGAGAGAGAGAGAGAGAGGCGGCTGCCACTCAAGAATTTGTTTGTGTGCGAGAGCGACAGAGCTGGAGAGGAACAGAGAGACAGCCACACAGAGAGACAGGGAGAGAGCAAGCAAGCAACGGACAAGTAAAGCAAACAAAAAGCGTCGGCAAAAAGTTTGCAAAAAAAAGCAGCTTGTCGGTGAAGGCGGTGGAGGAGGGGAGTGCATGGATGTGCTGTATCTACCATAGCCGTGTATACATGTGTGCATATGTTTGTGTTGCGAGTGTGTATCTGTGCGTGCTTGTCGCGCGACTCACATGGGGCTCGCAGTCGGCAGCGCCGCGTGCGTCGACAGAGCACATCAGCGTCGCGTGCCTTTGCAGTTGAAGTTTTGTTGCCTGCTTTGGGTGGCTCCATCAAGGCATGGCAGGGCAGGGCAGGGCGGTGAAGGGTTAAACATTGGCATGCAACGCTCTCTGTATATCTGTGTGGTGGAGAGAGAACAAGGGAGGAGCTGCGACAGGTCTGGCCCTCCAGCCCAACCCAGTGTCTGGCTTCTGTGATTCCTTTTGGCGGACGGCGCGTGAAAGTGTTACGATTTGAAACCGCCAGAGCTTAGAACTAGGTAAATCAGAGTGCCACAGGGAGGGGTACGGTACATGGCCGCTTAGATTCTCGCGCCAAAAACCCAGCAAATTTAGTTTGAACCTGGCATGGAATCTCCCTGGATCGTGTCTACAGGGTATCTTGTTTCCTCAATCGAATCGTATGCCAGCCCATTTCTATATATAAACTTATCTCTATCAGCGGCAGAGCCTTAATCAGTTTCCCCCGCTATGCTGTTGCTGTCCCAGGGTGGTGCGGGGTGTAGGCATGCCACCCATTCTATACGCTACGTCCTATCAGTAGAAAAACAAAAGTGCTCACTTATAAATATTTATGAAAAACAAAATGATAAGGCGAATTGGAATCGAAGCAAAACCAGCAAAAGTCGCTGAACGCTGGCTGAACAGCTGATTCGTGGCGGGAGACGACAACAGAAAGACATCCAATGCATGAAACAACTCAAGGAAGAACTAAAGTATTATTATATTAATCTAAAGATTTCTCAGGACATTCATCTGTGGAGAGATCTACTCCCATGAACTTTCTTTCTTTCACATTCAAAATTTCAAAACTCATCATTTGCCAATGGAATCGTCTGTCTCCGGATCCGCGCTCTGGCTCACACCTTGGGTGACTTCCGTCTTGCGGAAGAGAATGCAGTCCACCCATGACATGATGCAGCTTTGACGTTTCACTATGCTCTGGATCTTCAGTATGGCCTCCTCGCCGGCCTGCTTCTGCTCAAGATCCGAGATGTCTGAGGTCACTTCGTTGAGGTCTGGAATCCTTCGGCCCTTACAAACGATGAAACTGGGCTTGCCGCACAGATTGAAGTCATCCCTCGGGGACTTCTTCTGCACCTTGGGCACAGAGTGCTTTGCCAGAGATTTTGGGCGAGAATTCTCCATCTTATGGGACTGATTCATTTGTAGAGAAATTAATTTTATTGTGTTCCTAGAGTTGTTTTTCGAACGGATGTAAAAAGGAAACTAAAATTTGAATGAAACTCGAATTGACAGCTGCGACATTGTCCCTGTCTCGGACTACGAAGATTCTCCTAAAACCATTTGCTGTGAGAGCAAAATATTCTTTTAAATTGCTGTCGAACTACCCGAATTTTCTAATTTTACACGACTTGAACCAAATTCTCTCCTAATGGAGAGTCGCGTGTTGAAGCCCGAACTCAGCAAGGAGCGAAAGATAGGCGAAATCCGTTTCAAGCTGCTCTGTGTTATGAATCGCCAGAGGGCGATCAGTGCCAGGCTGCAGCTGGCCATTAAAACCATGAAGCTGAACCAAAGCAAACTGGAGGATTACTGCACGAAATAAAAACTTAAACCAACGGCAGCCGATAAAGAGCAGGGCCGGAGGGCTATGCTCAGTCAGATCCAAAAGTGGGATCTGCAAATGCAGAACAAAAGCAGTGCCATAGGGTGCCCTTATGTTGAGATCACACTAGTGACTCTCCTGAAAATTAATGAATACGATCTGACTCCGTTGAGGGAGCTTTTGATGGAGTGTGATGCCATTGCAGACACTGTCCAGCGCAATGTAACCATCTAAGCTGTGAAACGTGACAACGCGTCAACAATCTAAGTTGTGAAACGTGGCAACGTTGCCTTCCAAAAACAATAGAAACTCTCGTTTGGCGCCAACACGAAAAGACAACAATGTACAAAAAGCACAAGAGCACCACACACACACTTCACACAGCAATGGAATCGGAATCGGAGAGGGAACAGCAGCAGCAGCAGCAACAACAACAACAACATTTGCCGGGTGCTTAGTTTTTTTGCCGGTGCAAAAAGTAGACGACAAGCAAGAGGGCCCCAGCCCCCCCTGCTACCTTCTCTAAAAGCTTCCACTCTCACAAAACGAACCCAATACCGACCCCGACCTTCTCTCTCTCTCTCTGTCTCTATTGCTCTCGCAGTCACTACTTTGTACAGTACATCATCGCCCACGCAGTCAGACACCAGCAGCATCACACATTGTGTATGAATAATGCAAATAAAGAGTTAACTTCGAATAGTTTTTGCCGCCCTCCCTGCCCGTCCGGCAAACCATCCAACCATCCATCCGATCATTGGCATTTGTTATTTTAGCACCTTTTTAGAGCGCGGCACCACGACTATGAGCAGATGTTGGTCACGCTCTGAGGGGAAGCATCTCTGAGGTTCTGTTTTTAAGTGCAAACATAATCTAAACATAAACGCCAGTTATTAGTGGCTCAAAAGTAATCTTTTTCATATATTTACATATTTCTGTAGCAGTAAGAGTCAACGAATTACTTTGAAAGTGTATCAAAAGCTTCGTTTTTCTGCTTATTATTTCTTGATTTTAGCATGTCTTCTTCATCCTCAACTCTCACTGTGTCTCCCACTCTCTCGCTCTCTTGCCTGCCATCGATGGCCTCGGCATTCAAACGAAGCTTCAGGGTCTGGCATATCGGGACTTTAGGATAGGGGAGCGCAGGGCGGAGACCAAGCAGCGGTATAATTGTGTTTTTGTTTGCTTTCTCACTTGGAGGCGTAGCGTGGAATAGGTTAAGAACAGGCCAAGACACACTCACATACCCACGCTCCCCCTGCCAGCCTGCAGCTAGTCGAATCCAAAAGCTCTCTGCTCGAAGGCGCTGCCTTGCCTTGCCTCTGCCGCGGCACCGCTCCCTTTTCGTGCGCTCTAATCTTATCGCGCGACAGGAGCGAGAGTCTGAGAATCGCACTCCGTGGAACAATTCTCTGTGTTGGCTGTGCGAATTCTTGCTGCCTTTTTGCCAAAGTATTGTAGTAGTTGTTGACTCTCGAATATTAGGTCACACAAAAAGCCGGTTTCTGTTGTAGCTTTTGTATCTGTTATCTTGTGTGTGGAGCTGACTGCATGCATATGTGGGTGAGCTTCCCTGTGTCTGTGTGTCTCGGTGTCTGTGTGAGCTGGAAAGCCGGTTTCTGCTTCGCTGTTGCTTTTTTTCTTTTTGGCGACTTTGTCGACTTTGGCTATGTAAATTTTTAGCCAGATCCCAGTCCCAAGTGGCAGACCCAGTCCCTCTACGAGTGCGAATACGAGTACGAGTATAGCCGCCAGCCATGTCCGAGCATATGCTCGGACCCGGACAGAGAGTCAGAGCAACAGAGAGGCTCGGCAGCAGGAAGGAAGGAAGGAGGGAAGGAGGGAGAAATAGAACGCAATAAATATGAATTAGGCAAGAGAGAGAGAGAGGAGACCACCATCGCCGCCACAGCCTCTGGGGTTTCCCTAATGGCCTTTCAGCTTAATTTGCATTAATACAGATTTGGGGGGGGGGGGGGGGGGGGGG